GATAAACCATTAAATCAAAAAATGGGCAAAGGACTTAATCAGACACTTTTTTAAAGAGGGCATACAGAAGGCCAAGAGACAAATGAAAACATGCTCAAAGTCACTAATCATCTGAGAGATGCAAATCAAAATGACAATGAGATATCGTCTCACTCCTGTCAGGATGGCTATCATCAACAAATTGATAAAGGACAAGTGCCTGAGAGGATGTGGAGAAAAAGGGACCCTTGTGCATGGCAGGTGGAAATGCAGACAAGTGAAGCCAATGTGGAAAATAGTATGGAGTTTCCTCAAAAAATTAAAAATGAAACTCCCATTTGACCCAGTAATCCACTCCTAGGAATATACCCCAAGAAATCAGAAAGGACATATGCACCCCTAGGTTCAGAGCAGCACAATTTACCACAGCTAAGATCTGGAAACAGCTGAAGTGCCCATCAGCAGTTCAGTGGATTAAAAGACTGTGGTACCTCTACACAATGGAATACCATGCTGCGGTAAAAAAGAAGAAACTCTTACCATTTGAAACAGCGATGGACCTGGAGAGCATTATGCTGAGCAAAATAAGCCAGTGAGAGAAAGATAAATTATCACATGATCTCACTCATTTGTGGTCAATGGGGGAAACAGGAGACATATGTAAGACGATACATAATACTTTAAACGATAAAGAATTTTTAAAAAAGAAATATCGTGAAAATATCCACAGTACACAAGGCAATCTAGAGATTAAATCCAATCTTGAGGATAATTCCTACGGTATTTTATAAAGAAATGAAAAGAGAATCTTGAAATGTGTAAAACTAAAAAACTCCAACAGCAAAAACAAACGTCAGTGAAAACAAAGCTGGTGGCATCACACTTCCTGACTTCAATTTCTTACAAAGAGAAAGCAAGCAAACAGTGTATTGGTGGAGAAACACAGACACATATATCAACAGAACAGAAAATACAGAAATAAACCCAGGCATATACTTTCTTTTTTAAAAAAAAATATATATTTTTTATTGATTTTTTTACAGAGAGGAAGGGAGAGGAATAGAGAGCCAGAAACATCAATGAGAGAGAAACATGGATCAGCTGCCTCCTGCACACCCCCTACGGGGGTCAGGCACATACTTTCAAATAATCTTTGTCAAAGCTGCAAGACAGAGAAAGGAAAGATAGTTTCTTCAATGAATGACACTGCGGAAAATCAATAGTCACATATAAAAACAACAATACTGGACAACACGGATAAAATTTAACTCAACCTGCAGGACAGAATTGAATATCAGCTTAAAATGAAAAACTCCTCAAAACAACCTAGAGAAAAAGTTTTGGAGGTTCCTTTTGGACAGAATTTCCTGAATGTGACACCAACCACCAGACAAAATAGAAAACATAAACAGTGCAGATGGCAACAAATAAAGAAAAAAAGCTTCTTCACTGCACAACAGCAATAATGAAATGAAAGGAAATCTAGAGAAGAGAAGGAAATACTTACAAACCATATGAAGAAATCGCTTGGAGAGATTGTGAATTCAGTTCTGATGAGCATAATAAAGCGAATATTGCAATATAGACAGAAATTCACACAAACAGGTGGAGTTCCCAGGGAATAATAAAGGTATGTCAATACCATAGTGCAGGCTAATAATAATGCAATGACTCTTCTCAAAAGAAAACTCAATATAATTTCATGAAAAATACTTTCTTGCTAAGCAATAGTAACAAGCATCTGAGCTTGCTAGAAACATGGTGGCACTAGACCTGCTGAACGCAGGGTTGCCAAAAACATGGACTTTGTAGAAAAGCGCAATTAAGCACATGCAAAAATATGTGTTCCTGTATGTCATAAGCAATTAACATATAATATATACAAGGTAGTCAAAAGAATGTTTAACCAAAAAATACAGTTATTAACCAAGATAAGGATATAGAAACAATTCTTCAAAAGCTATGTACAAATGACCAACAGGAATATAGAAAATGCTTTCCTCACTGATCAAGGTGGAATCCCTTAGGCTTCCTGCAACACTACCAACCACAAGTCCTTCCCTGTGAATTTAGTACAGCGGGGAGTATTGGGACTTCAGGAATAGAAGGGAGCAGCAGAAACAGACCAACCCACCCCAGGACAGCAACTACCCAGGAAATTGGAAAATCCAGCAGTACCACAGTCTACCTGGGGGGACAGAGCACACCCTGGGGGATGGGGCCTAGGAAATCGCAAAGCCAAGTCCAGGTCACTGGTGAGAGTGAGGGTCTTACCCAGCGAGGATATAAGTTCAAAGTTCTCCAGCATCACATTCAGGTACAGCTGTCTCTGACTCTCATCAAGAAGGTTCCATTCCTTCCTGGAGAAGTACAGGGCAATGTCCTCAAAGGTCACGCCAACCTGTCAGAATGGAGACAATTGAACCCAGAGCTGTCTCTCTGAGAACCTGACATCCTACTCCTTACACACCTTCCCTACCCTCAACCTCCTCCTTAGTGTGGACACCAGGCCCTACTGCCAGTGCAGGCTGCTCTCTCACCACAGTCCCATTAATCCCTCAGCAGAGCAGCTGGGTTGGGTGGGAAGGATTAGGGAAGGGGAGGGGAGAGGGCAATGCCATTTAAGGTCTGGGCGATGCCTGCAGAGCCCCAGCCTTCCTGCCAAGCAACACCACTGCAGTCTCCTAGATCCGTGGTCGGAAAACTGCAGCTCGCGAGCCACATTCGGCTCTTTGGCCCCTTGAGTGTGGCTCTTCCACAAAATACCACGTGCGGGCACGCACGTACAGCGTGTTTGAAACTTCATGGCCTGGGCGAGTCTATTTTGAAGAGGTACTGTTGATATTTGACTCTGTTGACTAATGAGTTTGCCGACCACTGTCCTAGATCCTGCCTCCAAGACAAAGCCAAGCTTGGGTTTATGCTTCGCTTTTATGTCCCCACTGTTAGGTCGGAGAGAGCCCAGGATCGGATACATGCAGACATGTGACGAGATAATGGACTCCCCCTGGCATTTCTAACAGATCAGCATGCCAGACACAGATACTGGCTTCTCCACCACCCCCACTCAGATACTGACTCATTCCTGAATACCTTGCTGACCCCCTGCAGCTGAAACTTTCTCAACTGAATCCCTCAGCTCATGTCCCCGCCCCTCACCCAACCGCAGTATAAAAAAAGCGCCCCCCTCCCTGTTGGCATGAATCCACGTGCCCTGTCCTTGGGGATAGTGGGTCTCCCGGGGACGCAGAATAAACTTTCCTTCCTTCCTTTTCTGATCAACTCCCTTTATTTCCTTCGCCGCCTCCTGAGCCACCTAACCTAACACCCACCCCAGGTCCCGGGACCATCAGCTCACCCTTCCTCCAGATGTGCTCACCACTGTGTAATGTTTATCCCCTTCCCATGTTCAGACCCCAGGGTCACTCCCTCAGCTCTGCCCCCTTCCTGCTCCAATGCCACTGGATCTCGCTGGACTCACCCATGAACTTGGCATATGGCGTGTAGAGAGCTTGTAGTCCAGCCGGATCCAGGCCCACCCCAGGCCCCTGATGGACCCACAGCCGGGAAAGCCCCGAATGAGGCTGTGCCGTCCTCCCAGCAGCCTCTGATCTTTCCGTCAATACTCACAGCCACATCCTCAGGGACCTTCAGATGCAAGTCACCCCCGTCCTCTCTGCCCTGCACTTGCTGTGTCCTCAGAAGCCACAACACTCCTCTCTCCCCTCCACCTTCCTCACGGGCCTCCACGCGGGACTGAGCTGCAGGACGGGACAGGCGCCCTCCCCAGGCTGTGGTGTCTGTGTGAGGAGGCGCTGAGGGCCTGGGGGACTGAACTCACCTCGGCCCGTCTCCTCAGCGGGGGCGCCGCCATTGCCCTCTGTGGGCTGAGCCGGGCGGGAGTAGAAGCCGCCGCAGGAATGGCGGTCCCTGTCCCCGCCCTGGCGTGGGTCCGGGCGGGGACTCCGAGCTTCAATCCCACGTGGGAGCTGTGAGCACCACTGGAGGCTCCGACCATTGGCTGTGAGGCGGGGAGCACCACTCTCCGGCCTCCTCAACGGGATTGTGGACTTGGAAAACCTCACCGCCTGAGACAAAAACCTGAGAAGGCAAAATTCTGCCACATGGACTACTGGTTCCGCCCTACAGAAGGGGCCAAATGGAAACGCCTTCTCTGTGCCTCCATTGGCTCAGCCTGATCCCATTCCTTGCTTGGCCTTGTGGGTAATGTAGTTTCTAAGCTCCAAGGCCAGGATCCTGTATTTCTCAGTTGACTCAAGGACTGGATTTAGGGGCAAATAGCCCAAGAATATGTTAATTGCTTACGACCAACTATACTAAGGGTCCTCTAGCGCCTTCAGTGGAGGTGATGTCTGGGGCAAGTTTGTTTCTCTCCTGCACCTGCCGTGGCTACTTTTGCATATCTTTCTTACAGGACCTGCTCTTTCTGAATTGCAGGCAGTTTCTTCATTCAGGACTTTTGGCTCCTGTCTCCTTCAGACCAACTGTAGCTTGCAGAAGTTACTCAAGTCTCTCAATGCCTCTAACCTACCTCCATTGAACCCATTACACAAAGTTAATGTCTCTTTTAGCTCTGAGTTCTTTCAAAGCCTGCACCTTCAGCCAAATCTGAACAGTATTTCTTTATTCTGAGGAGTTCAGTAGGTCAAAATTAGGAAAACGATATTGTAGAGGCAACATAATTGTTCCTTCTTCTTTTCTAGGCTCTTTGGTTGGCCTAGTAAATAAGTTGATATAATACAGATTAACAGGGGGAAAACAATCAAAAAGTTATTAACATGTATACCTCCACATACATGGAAATGACTCAGAAAAACGGAGTAATGCATCAAACTGGCAAATACCATCACCTGAAAAGCCACCTTCACTTATAGTCAGAAAATGTTGTGTGTGGAGAGTCAGTTAGGGTAGGTGTTCAGGAAAAGCAGAATAAAAACCTCAGTTGTGGCCCAGTGTGCTGTGCACTGAGCTTGTATTCAATAGAACTCTGTTCCATCCCAAAGATGCATGGTGCAGACACAGGAGAATGGGAAGGCTTGAGTCCAGAACATGACCTGGGCTGCAGGGAAACCATGGTAAGAGCCATGGTGTCATTCAGCCAGTAGGGTAATACAGGACAGAATCACATGGGCCTGTTGGTCCTATGCATGAATAAGAGATGAGCACCCGTCCAATGAGACCAGAATCAGGTAGAAGTACAGCATCACTTCTGAATGTCAGGTCCCAGGATTGGTGTCCAATTGTATCCACTCCTGCACGGTGAATGTCACTGCCACATAGGAACATCATTTGAAGGTCAAACTGAGGCATGAAATTCATCACAGTGGATGGGATGACAGCAGGACACTCAAAATGTATGTGAAGGTGCAGAGACCTAGCCCAATTTATGGAGGTCTCCTGTGGGTCCAACTCTGTACTGGAATCAAAGAGCAGGCAAACAGCAGCTCACTCTGAAAGCAGATTCCCCTGGAGAAACCACTGCACTGAGAAATGATGGCGTTCCCCTCAACACAGGGAGGCCAAGGGTAAGTGCTCTGAGAAGTAAAGGGAATGGAAGGAAAAGCATAACTGTAACCATGGAAACAGGAGCTGCAGCTGAGCCACTCTGGTCTTCAGACTGTACCTGCTCCAGTGAGGGCTGCACATCTGAGGAACAGACTGTGTCTGACGCTGAGAAAATAATGGTTAAAACCCAGCGCCTTGAATCTGACACTTGTCTGTGCTGTAAACTTGGGGAGCTGACTTCCTTTCTCAGATACTGAATTTTTTCAGCAATTTGATGTGTTTCCACTTACCCAGGTTATTGTGAGAATTACAAGAGAAAATGCTCAAAAATCTAACCCTGGAACCCTGGCAACAAGTACTCACCTTGTTACTTTTATTGATCTGGGAAGGAAAAAGGAAGCGCCATCAATCATCTGCATGTCACATTCAGCCACCTGAGACTCAGGGAGTTGTAGCGAGTCTGCTGGACATTCCCAAGTTGGGCCCACCACAATGAGACCTGACTGCCCACAGGACCTGCCTCCCTGCAGCAGAGTCAATGGCTACTTATAGGTCCCATTTCTCACTAAAATGCACCCAAAGACAAAGGTGCTGTGGGCATCAGGGGAGTGAGAATTGCCTGGCCTGGGAATATCCCTGTAGGGAGATGCTGGAGTTGCCTGGAGAGGGAGAGATAGAAACATCAATAATGAGAAAGAATCATTGATCAGGTGCCTCCTGCTTGCCCCACACTGGGAAAACACTTTCAGGCATAGGCATGTACCCTGACCAGGAATTGAACCGTGCCCTCCTGATTCACAGTTCCACCTGGAAGCATTGAGTCACGCAGGCTGGCCTCTCATCACTGATATTTCTATCTCTGTCTCCCTCTCCCTTGCATGATGAAATCAATAAAAAGGTTTTAAAAATCAAGTAAGATATTTGTTAAAAATAAAAAATATTAAAACATACTATTTTAATATAAAAAACAGATTTATTTCCTAAAGTGCAAAAGACACAAAATGAGTAAAATTCCAACATTCATGTTTGCTGCTCCACTGTCTTTTTCTTAAAGAAAATTGCCCAAACTCATACCACATCAGGCAGAACGTAAGATGTTTTAAGAAAGATAGACTTGCCGAAGCTGGTTTGGCTCAGTGGATGGAGCGTCAGTCTGTGGACTGAAAGGTCCCGGGTTCGATTCCGGTCAAGGGTATGTGCCTGGGTTGTGGGTACATCCCCAGTGGGAGATGTGCAGGAGGCGGCTGGTCGATGTTTCTCTCTCATCAATGTTTCTAACTCTCTATCTCTCTCCCTTCCTCTCTGTAAAAAATCAATAAAATATATTTTTAAAAAGAGAAAAAAAAAGAAAGATAGACTCAACAAATGCACTTCTGAGGAAAGGGTCAACATACATTCCTACAGTGAGGTAGAATGACAAAATTACAAAATGTTTACATAAAGAATGAGTGACCAAACAAAATGTTCTCTAGAATGTGTAGAATGTGAATACCTCGCACAGTGGAGGAAAAATGGTAAAAGGTACAATCAGTTTACTTTTATTTTTAAAGAATAATTGATTTTTAAAATATATATTTATTGACTTCAGAAAGGAGTAAAGAGAGAGATAGAGGGAGGGAGAGAGAGAGAGAGAGAGAGAGAGAGAAAGAGAGAAGAGAGGTGCACCAATGATGAGAGAGATTCATTGCCTGGCTGCCTCATGCACATCTCACAGTGGCGTTTGAGCCGGCACCTGGGAAATGTGCCCTGTTTGGGATCAAACCATGACCATCTAATTCATAGGTCAAAGCTCAATGACTGAGCCATGCCAAAGGCAAAGAATGTGTGAGGTCCCATACAGGAAATTTTATTAATTTTTGGAGAGAGAAGAAGGGACAGGGAGAGAAACACAATGCAAGTGTGCAACATGGACTAGCTGCCTCCTGCACATCCCATTCTGGGAACGTGGCCCACAACCCAGACTCACGCCAAGCAATTCAACCGGTAACCCTTCGGTGCATGGGATCACACCCAACCAACTGAGCCACAACACCCATCATGGTATATTCAGTTTAGATCACAATTTGGTAATCCTTGTTAATTTAAACATTCAAATACTCAAAGACTTGGATTGTACACTGAATTTTTAACAAAGGTAAATAACACTTACATCCATATAAAGAATTATACAGAAATGAGAGGCCCGGTGCACAAAATTGGTGCACGGGGGAGGGGGGGTGTCCCTCAGCCCAGCCTGCACTCTCTCCAATCTGGAACCCCTCAGTGGGATCAGGCCTAACGGGCAGTCTGACATCCCTCTCACAATCCAGGACTGCTGGCTCCCAACCGCTCGCCTGCCTGCCTGCAGATTGCCCCTAAGCACTCCCCTGCCAGCCTGATTGATGCCTAACTGTGCCCCTGCTGGCCCAATTGCCCCTAACTGCTCCCCTGCTGGCCCAATTGCCCCTAATTGCCCTCTCCTGATGTCTTTGTCACCCCCAACTGCCCTCTGTTGCCAGCCTGGTTGCCCCTAACTGCCCTCCCCTGTCAACTTGGTCTCCCCTAACTGCCCTCCCCTGCCAGCCCGATCTCCCCTAACTGCCATCCCCTGCCAGACTGGTCCCCCCCTAAGTGCTGTCCCCTGCAGGCCTGATTGGCCCTTACTGCCCTCCTCTGCAGGCCTTGTTGGCCCTAACTGCCCTCCCCTGCTGGCCTGGTCCCCCATCACTGCTCTCCCCTGCTGGCCTGGTCGCCCCCAAGTCCCCTCCCCTGGAGGCCTGGTCCCCCCTAACTGCCGCCCTCTGCAGGCCCGGTCACCCCCAACTGCCCTCCCTTGCTGGCCTGATTGCCCACAACTGCCCGCCCCTGCCAGCTATCTTGTGGCAGCCATCTTGTGTCCACATGGGGTTGAACATATGTGTTGGAGTGATGGTCAATTTGCATATTACTCTTTTATTAGATAGGCTGTTAGTACCAGCTTTATTAGAAATGACCAAATATTAATAAAAATGGTAATTTCTGCACCATACCTTTCCCTCAAAGGCAAAGAATGTGTGAGGTCCCATAAAAGTTTTCACCTCATCATGCTTAAAGAGCCCCGATCTCCTTACAAGCTAATCCACACAGTAAATAGAACACCCAAGATTAAAGAAGTCTTAGGAAAAGGCCTTCGTTATATTATAAACCAAAGAGACATGAGACTGGCAGTTCTTGCACTGATGACTTAGGCCAGGGGTGGGCAAACTTTTTGACTCGAGGACCACAATGGTTTCTTACACTGGACCGGAGGGCCGGAACAAAAGCATGGATGGAGTGTTTGTGTGAACTAATATAAATTCAAAGTAAACATCATTACATAAAAGGGTATGGTCTTTTTTTTTTTTCTTTTAGTTTTATTCATTTCAAACGGGCCGGATCTGGCCCGCGGGCCGTAGTTTGCCCACGGCTGACTTAGGCACTCAATATATTCATCACTGGCATCTAGGGAAAGTATGCCCTTGAGAATGGCAGTAGCTCTGCAATACTATGTTTTCTGGGGTCAACACTAATGAGCCCTATATGGCAACTCATGAGAAGGAAAACAATTAAGGACTCCTAAGGGCTCAAGTATTCCTAATTTTCTTGAACAAATCTGACAACAGTATTAGCTTCCCTGGCCACATGTGGGTGTTGATTGATGCCATCTGTGAGGGCCTTATAAGTGGTGCAGGCGAAATACCTTCAGCAAGAGAAAGATGCACTGACATACAGCTGGCAAGACATCTATGTTAGAAAGTGCAACACTTCAATATTAGCTTAGACTTCCCAGGGTTTTGTGACAATTAAAAGAGAAAATGCTCCAAAACCCAAGTCTGGATCTCTGGCAGAGGCAAGTATTAAGTTCATCACTTTTATTGACCCTCAAAGTCCTAGGTAAGTCCCGTCGTCACCTTCATGTCACATGTAGCCAACTGAGGTGCAAGAAGATGTAGTGAGTCTCCTGGAGATTCCAGTTTGGAGACCCAACAGGGAAACCTTAGTGCCCACAGTACTGCCTCCCTGCAGGTGGGTCAGCGGGTTCAGAAAGGCCCCAGTTCTTGAAGAATGAAGGTGCATGTAGGCATTAAGTAAGTGAAGGATTCCTGTCCTGAGAATATTTCTTAAGATTGCTCTTCTGAAGGTGATGTGAATGTTAGTAGTGTGGGTTGTAATTAAAAGTGCTCACTGCATTGTGCATAGCATTTAAAAACTAAAAAATTCCCATGATTATTTATTTATTTATTAAAATGGCTCAGTGGTTTAGCATCGACACAGCAGAAAAAGGTCCCTCATTCGATTTTTGGTCAGGGCACATGCCTGGGTTGAGGGCTCCATTCCCAGGAGCTGCGTGCAGGAGGTAGCCTATCAATGTCACTCTCTCGTCATGGACGTTTCTCTCTCTCCCTCTCCCTTCCTCTCTGAAATCAATACAAAAATATTTTAAAATCTCTCATACTCTGGTTTCTCTTCAAATCACATAAATCGTTCATCTCTTAAAAATACCGAAAAATACATATTTTTAAAGGTATAAAATATTTAAAAACATTATTCCAATCCAAAAAAATATTTATTCCCTATACCAAAAAAGGCACAAAATGAGTGAAATTCCAATATCCATCTTTGTCATTCCATTGTTTGTTTGTTAAAGAAAATTGCCCAAACTCATAGCACATTAGGCAGAACATAGGATCAGAGGTTTTAACAAAGATACAGACACAGCAAATATGCATCTCAGAAAGGACTCAATATAAACTTCTAGAAAAAATACAACCCAACAGTGAGGTAGCACAATAAACTAACCAAAAACACAAAAACGAAAAACGTTTAAATAAATAATGATTGAACAAAATAAATATTCTCTAGGATGTGGAGAATGTACATCCTTCATACACTGCTGAAAAAATGCAGAAACAAAGTACAATTAGTTAAGCTTTACATTTTATTTTTAAAGGATACTTTAGTAATTTTTAGAGAGAGAAGGAAAAGGGAGAGAAACATTAATGGAAGAGTGGCATATTGGCCAGCCAGCCACTTCTGTGGAACTAGCCCACACCCCAGCACATCCCCACCGGCAACCAAATCCACAATCCTGTGCTGCAGGAGATGATGCCGAAACAGTAAGCCACACCGGATCTGGTGGTACATTCAATTTACATCATTATTTGGTAATCTCAGTAAAATTAAACAATTCATCTACCCCAAAACTCAGATTATGGCCTGAATTGTTAACAAAGGTTAATAACACTTATGCTATTAAATAAAAGCCTGATATGCTAAGTGTCCGGTTATCCAGTTGGCCATTCAACCAAAGTGTAATATGCTAATGATATGCTAAGGCAGTCCAACTGCTCGCTATGACGTGCACTGACCACCAGGGGGCGCACAGTTGGACAGTCGCTATTACATGCACTGACCACCAGAGGGCAGATGCTCCAACAGGTAGGTTAGCTTGCTGCTGGGGTCTGGCCAATGGGCCAGACATGCCCTGGAGCCCTTCCGTGGTCCCTCTCTGGCTGGCTAAACTCCGGCGACCCTTTCTGGCCCCACGCAGGAGCTGGCCCTGCCCCCTCGTGGTCGGTGCACTTCTACAGGGGGAGCATCACTTAGCCAGAAGCCTGGCTCACAGCTGGCAGCTGCACTCAGGTGGTAAGGAGAGAGGGGTCCCAGACTTCGAGAGCCCCAGACTGCAAGAGGGATGTCTGACTGCCGGCTTAGGCCAGATTTCCAGGGGGATTGACCTAAAACGGCAGGTGGACATTGCCCAAGGTGTCCTAAACTGGGAGAGGGAGCAGGCCAGGCTGAGGGAGCCTGCCCACGCCGCCGCCAGCCCAGTACACGATTTTCGTGCACCGAGCCTCTAGGAAACATATAAAGAATTATACAGTAATGCTGATACAAGCTTTATTAGAAATAACCAAATATTTACTAAAATGGGCATATGGTGATATATTCAAAGATAAGAATATCTACCAGGGCCCTAACTGGTTTGGCTCTGGACAGAGCATAGGCCTCCAGACCAAAGGGTACCGGGTTCGATTCTGGTCAAAGGCACATACCTTGGTTGAAGACTCCTTGCAGGCCCGGGCCCTGGTCATGGCTGATGCAAGAGGCAAACGATCAATGTGTTTCCCTCATATCGATGTTTCTATCTTTCCCTC